ATTGTATCCATTTTGATGTGGAATGTTGTGTGAGCAACTCTGTGTAGTCTCACCTGATGTTCTATGACCACAAGTCATCCTCAAGCGGGAGCAGGGTGCCCTGTGATCAAGGATTTTGTGCGTCCACCTATGGGGTAAAAATACTAGGTTGCGGGTCAATGTGTCCTGCGAGTACGATGTCATTTTCAACGATGGTATCCCAACAACTGGGTTCTCCATCACCGATGCACGACAGTTTGATCAGGTGACTGGAATAAGGAGACAACCTAGTAATGTCACCATCACGTTTGAGTGAGTCTGGTCATATCATTATATCACAGTATAATATTTTTTTGTTGGACAACATTCATCGAATCAGCTTTTTTGCTGCACACAAGGGGCTTCCTTCTCATCCCTAGTCGTGACATACCTTCCATAATTTGACATACCTTGCAGAATTGGTTTTCAAAGAAGTAATGGACGCAGAATGACAAAGATTGTATGGTAGTTTGTCCATTGTAACGGAGAACCATATTCCTTTATTTACTCTAAACTTATTGTAGGGTATTCAAGCATCAAGATACAACCTCCCATAATGTTCAAGATTTTTCCTAGATTCAATCTCCATAATGCGGTCCAATGTCCATGCAACCGAGCTAATCCGTACCACTTGTCACTTGATGTGATGTGATGTGATGCGCTCGAAGATAACCAGCCAACAGTTTTTGAGGTCATTGAAGTTGACAAGCAAACTAATATACATAGTGATGCCTCATGGGTTTTCCTCCCGTTCTACATGATCACTAATTAATGAACACGAGACAGAACCAAATTCGCTGCTTGTGTCAAGATAATATTCCCTTCTAGTTTAATATAAGGTGATTTATAATGTTTATGACTAAGTCATTTTTGAACCATTGAATATAGACCGAAACAACCTCTCGACTACTGGGGATCATATGCATATCAGCAATTTAGCATATCCCGAGTTGTATGTTACGACCGGTGTCCCATGTTTTGCTGCTAGTCCTATTTCATGGAATAAAATTATTAATTTCTAAGAGTTTCATTTGTATTTAATAGGCTGTCACATAAGTGTTTATTATGATATGACAATGTTTTTAAGAAGAGGAACAAAAGTGCTTGGCATGATTACCAACTCTATTGACTCATGAAATTGAATGTCTATGAAACTATAGAATGAAAATATGTATTGAGAATGGATGTTTCATATTATTTTATATGATATGGTAGCCTTCGAAACGACGCATGAAACTCTCCATTGAGAATGGCGTATATGTCAAAACCATTTTTTCTTTGATGATTTAATGTTATTAATTACTACCAAACATGTAGATGCATTGTAACAAAATGTACTAGCTGTTGATGGTCATCTAGACGATTTACAGCTTGAAGATTTATTCAACGGTTGTCATCTGTTCTTATACGTCTTGAAATTGAACTTTGTATCACCGCTTGATGCGTCATCAAATTAGACTCCATACCATGCCAAACATATACTGTTCTAACTCGTGTGAACATAGGGTCATGGTTTCGTGTCATATATGGGACATGAAGGGTGTGAGGACATTGTGGGAAGTAAAAAAGACAGACAAAAGAATCATTTATGTCTTAATTTAATATTAGGTATAGACTAGAATGATATCCTGTTGGCTTGCATCAATTTTGGTCAAAATTGGACAAAATAATCAAGGGAAGGATACAAATTAAAAAGGATAATAGAACATTATATTAAATCATAAGCTGATGAACATCAAAACAAATAGCATGACTTATATTTTGATAGATGGAAAATAGCAATTGCACTTAGTGGTACATATTGTGTGGATAGTTTTTCACTTAGTGGGTGACGACGTAGATAGTTTTAACACATAGTGGCTGATAACAAGGATATTGAAATCAGTGGAGCATGATGTGGCATTTAGTGATGATGTGGATAGCTCGCATATTGTGATTGAGAGCTCGGGGTTGGGTCACGTGGATAGCTTGCACGTTGAGATTGAAAACAAGTGTGTTTTCTTTCACAAGATATATAAATATTGGGACTGTTTGCACAGTTCAAACTTCGAGCCCAGTATAGAATTTAGGGTTCATAAGATAACCACATTTAGGCAGTTCAGCCCGTGTAGGAGAAAAATGCTCCTCTCATCTGCACCTTCTCTCGAGAAGTCATTTCTTGAGTTAGGGCTTGTTGGCGGGGCCTCCTCTAGAGGAGCTGGAGCACTTGAGGAGGAGCCCTTTTTTTGGGCTCTGTCTTCTTATATTTGGCCATGTTCGTTTGTCTTATAATCCGTACTTTTCAGCTTGTTTTTTTAACTGGAACAGTATTTTTCTCTCACAACAAATCAGCCGAACAGTGTTTCGGCTTATTTTTTCAGCGAAGCGAACGAGCCAAAAACGGCTCTGACTCCTCTACTATTCATAAAAAGGGCTATCCGATCCTTCTAAAGTGTCTGGTATGGTTCTTTCGGTTCCTCTGCAGAAGTTGTTGCTGAAGCCGAAGCCGTAGCCATGCCAAATAGTCCCTTAAAGTTTGGCGGGCTCCACAGAACCTTGTGAAATAGAGCATAAATAACCAAATGTCCTCAATGTGCAACAACTCCTAATAGTTTCTGGAGCTAAAAACTTTTAGAGGTGTACACCCTGTTCGCTTAGATCATTTATGTGGCTTATAATCCGGTTGATGCTATTTTATTGTGAGAGAAAAATATTATATCATAGCTGATAAGTATGGCTGATACGATCAAGCGAACATGGTGGTAGCTATGCGAGGACTATTATTATTATCTTAAAGCTGGAAGTGTCTTTCCTGCGTACAGAGCATAACACAATTTTGATTTTACTTGGAAGAGTCATTGTTCCTTGAATATAACGAGACACAGTACAAGTCTTTTAGTATCTAATGGGAGTAAAAGTACTCCCTCGTCCATGAAAGAATACAACTATGAAATTCGTGTCGGTCAAACTAGTTTAAGTTTGATCAAATTTATAGTAAATAGTATTAATGTTTATGTCTCTAAATAAATTTATTATGAAAATATATCCTATAATAAATTCAATGATATTTATTTTGTATCATGAATGTTAGTACTTTTTTTATATAAATTTAGTTAAAATTTAAACTGATTGACTTTTCGAAAAACGAGAATAACATCCTTCCGTGGATGGAGGGAGTACGCGGTAAACCTGAGTATGACTAGCAATAGATGCACCGTACGGTGGTGCTTTAATTTGCTGGTAACGTTCTTCCACTGCAGTTCAACGCAGAACCAAATCCTAGAGAGAAAAAAAAATCCCCGCGTGCTCGAGAAGAGAGATGTACGTTATGGAAGCACACTTTCAATAAAAGCGACGCGTACGTAGTGTGAAGCTAGCTTTGGTCACGTTTGTCACTTGTTTGTATACGGATGAAAAGGTACGGCGTCCCAACTCCCAACCTTTCCTAGACGGTAGACGATGTAGGTATGTGATCTACTGCTCTGCTTCGTTCCAAACACACAAAGTCAAAAACACTTGACCCTGAGAAAACTTCTTCTGAGATATTTCATTCATGGCTTGTTTAGTTTGCAAAATTTTTGACAAAATGGTACTGTAACACTTTCGTTGTTATTTGATAATTAGTGTTCAATCATAGTCTAATTAGGCTTAAAAGATTTGTCTCATGAATTTTGTCTAAACTGTGTAATTAGTTTTATTTTTTATTTATATTTAATGCTTCATGCATGTGTCTAAAGATTCGATGTAACGGGGAATCTTGAAAATTTTTGCAAAATGAAGTGGAAGTAAACGGGGTCTCAGTACAACTCTTAACCATATGGTTGAAAAAAAAAGCCAATGAACCCCGAAGCACAGCGAGTGATTTTTTCGGGGGGGACAGGGAGTCCCTGTCGTAGGTCACATGATAGCTCTCCTACCACGCTGCTCTACGTGCAAGTTTCAAACACAAAGTTAATTAATTTCTTTTGAACGCCACAAAGTTAATTAGCTATACTGTATACAATCTCGCGTTCCTGATGATGACATTAGCTAATATATAAAAGTTGCATTTTGTATGCACACTGCGCCTAGCTAATTATCTCAAGAACCTCCGTGGTGCGCTCCTCGTCATTCACATGACGAAAGGTACAATATAGTACAATGCACGGCGGCGCCTCGGATCTTCCAAATTCAAACCCAAATTTTCTTAATTTGGCTATGCTCGTCACCCACCCACCTAACGCACGGCTAGCGTCGTGATGCCAAGCCAAAGCATATATACTTTGTCTGTTCGTTGGTTAGTTTCTGGGCTGATAAGCTCGGTTGATGTTGATTTATTGTGAGAGAAAAATATTATTTATTTCTGATAAGCTCTGGTTGAAACCGACGAACGAACATGCTGACCTAGGGAACCGGAAACATAATTGAATTGCTCGCGCTCCGTACGGTTCCGTGAGAAAGAAGGCATACGTCACGGTGCGGCGCGGTCGGCAGCGAGAAATAGCTAGCAGTCAAACCAGCCAACCCTCCGTCATGAAATTATTCTCCTGTGTTCTGTGTTCAAGATTGAACATTATACTACTACTCTCGTGAGTACATTCGTTGTGCAACGTCTAGTTGCGTCTGCTTGATTAGCGGATATGATATGACACTAAATAAATAAACAGGAATGTAATGTAACGGAGGATAATAAAGATAGCATGCATGTTTCAAACACAATAAACGGGTCGGAGGCATATGTATCAGTATATAAATATCAGGATTGATTCGATAGATATACGTTTTTTTTCTTATACATAAACATGTATGCATGATCGTCACTGGCACCTTACGACGTACGTACATACAGAGAGGTACAGGTACAGCTTCTTCAGTTGCGTCGCACGCACATACACATATCACATACCACACACGATGAATCCCACTCGATCGATCAGTTGAATATGTGTATATAAAATCAGGCCGCAGCTAAAGCAAGTAAAGCACGTACTGCTGGTAGCTTGGAGCGCATCGGCCAACGGCCATCATCGGAAGGCGAGGAAGAAGCGCTTGTTGGTCCGGGTCCGGCCGGCGCGTGCGATGGAGTCGGCAGCGTCGAGGTTCTTGGCGATGAGCTTGCGCGCCTGCCGGCTCCGGATCTCCACCCGCATGCTCTCCGTCTTCTCCACCTTGTCGTACCCGGCCGCCGCCGTCGCCTTCCTCGTCGCGCCGCCCCTCTGCTTGTTCCCGCCGGCGCCGGCGCGCAGCCTGGACTTGATGCCGTCCACCAGGCGCCTCAGCTGACCCATCACCACCATGGATCTAACGAGGAGGAGGCCAAGCTGGAGCGGATACAGGAACGCGGAACGCCCGCAGCAGAGGCCGGCCGCCCGGCACACGGGAAGACTTGACAGGTAGGAGAGACACGGGCCGGCCGGTGGGCGGGCAGGTCTGTTGTACTCACTCTGTACAGGCCGGACTACCGGTGGTGGTTGTATCTATTTATGGCGACACAGGAGAGGCACACTAGGATCAGTTAGAGCTCTATCATGGGCCCAGGGAGACAGAGAGAGAACTCCGCAGTCCGATGGCCCTCCAAGCGGTGGCTAGCTAGAGGTCACAGCTGAAAACGACATGAAAATTGAATACACACACAAGGGCTTTAACAAAACCGAATAAGCATATTACATAGTACGTAGAGTCTAGAGACGGTCGACGAAACGAGTTACGTGATCGCGAAAGAGACGCAGCTATTGGAAAAATGGATGAGACCGTTGTTGCGTGAGGAATATGGGGTTGGCCGGTTGCGGTCAAACCGGTGCGTCCAACTCCAATCCATCCGTCCAACGGACAACCAACCGTCTCTCCACTCGAACCAAAAGCCTCAACAAGCAGAATTCAGATGAGTTCACTTCAGACGCCAAAACAAGACTGTTTGGTACGATCGACAACCCTGACCGTACGTATACAAGAACAATCGCATGGTTATTGGGGGATGCATGATGCTCAGGTCGTACAATTGTGTGGCTACAAGCGTCACTCCGGTACTTATGTAGTTAAGTCTATTTTCTGGTTTTACAACAAAACTATTCTGAGGGCTGTGAGGATCTTTTTATTTGGAGGAATTAAAATCTACTTAATAAATTAGACTATTTTGTTTGAAATTTAACATTCCACCACATTGTCCAAAGTTCACATATAAGCCTATCTTAAATTCATAATGTAGGAAATTGAAATTAATTCTATAGATCACAATTATATGTTTCTACTTTATAACTTATAGCACGCTCTTCAACTCGCTTCCCTACGGTAGAAATGCAGCACATAAGTATCTCTCTCGAATAACCAATAATAATATGCAAATATAATCCATATACAACTATATTAGCTTAATTAATACGTGTCTAAATTATAATTATTAAAATGAATTTAATTCCAATGATCCAAACGGGGCTGAGAGTAATTCATTTTTTGATGAACTGCAAAGAACTTGCTTGTGATGTCGTCAGATTCAGTAACATGGATGGATGGAAAGAATTTTTGAATGGACGTGGACGGCTCAGACGCCAGCAGCAGAGGCCAATTGAAGGGACGATAGATGATATAAAACTTTGGTCCACAGCCAAGCCAAGGGCTGAGTCTTCCGAAATTTGGCTATCGCATAACTATGTGGATTCTCGTGGGCATCCACATTTGCTTCACACGATCGCAAGATTGCATTTACTGTAACACTTTTTAGAAAAAGTTTTTGGAACTAAACGCACGCTAACTATGTGAATTGTGGGCATCCCCTGCACGCGGATTGCATTTGGCCGGCCGGCTCATGGCACCAATAAGGCCGCGGATGAAAACAGGAGGCGGACGTTACCCGTGGTGGCCGGTTCAGGGGGTTTGTGACGCCGCGTCGTCGCCGCCGCACGAACGCAATCGGCGATGCCAATATGCCATATGCAGTAACGGTTGTTCGTTCGTGGACAAACTGGTAAGAGACAAATTAATATAAGGCTTATGGAGGAGGTACTGAGGTCTCATTTGGTATAGTCTGCCTTATTGGTGAAGTACTCTTTTTTTTTTCAGCTCAAGAGCAGCTCTACCGTTTATGCTGAAATTGGTTTGGTAAATTGTTTGACTGAATAACTTCTCATGACAGATAAAAAAAGGTAAAATACCCCTAATAACTTTCGCTTTTTTCTTCATTTATTTATTTTTTCTCTCTCTCTCCCCTATCTCTCTTTCATCCAGCTGTCGTCTATTTCACCTCGCCATGCGGTGCCCACTGCTCACCGGTGACTCCGCCACACCTTGAACCTAGTGACTCCACCCAGAGTCTTGGTCTGGAACTCTGGCTACTCCACCCCCACGACTCTGCCTCGCTCTAGTGACTTCGTCCGCCCCAGCGCAAAACAAGGACGATAGAGCCAGGAGAAGCTTGTTTCTCTCAGCTCCGTCTGTTGCCCACATCTCGTGAGATCATGTGTTCCATGGCTCCACATGACCGAGGAGCTATTCGTTTTTAGCCGTTTGGTAAATATACAGTGTAGAGTTGCTCCTAATTTACCACAAAATCTCTACCAAACAGGACTTAAGACTCTCCTTGTCTCACCATGAAAAGCACAGAGTGTGACATCTAAAGAAAAAAGTGGGGATCGGACATACTAGGCTTCTTAAATCTTAAGTTGATAGCTTAAATTTCCTTGCAGTCCATTAACAACAACGTACTAATCCAACCATTCAAATGAGCGTGTTCATTGCTTACCTCGCCCATCATAGGCCTCGTCACAAGTCCCGAACATGGTCCCTCGCCATTATCAGGCAGCTTCCCTACTGCCAAGTCTACCCCCATAGTTCCTCCCTACCAAAGCTTCTACAGCCATGTTAGGTCAGTCTTACTAGGAGTTTCTTTTGCATTTAATAAGTTATCATATAAGCACTTTTGATTATATGGCAACGTTTTTAAGAAGAGAGAGGTTAAGTGAGTTTCATGGGAGATGAAACTTGTTGGCATTGATTATCAACTCTCTGTGAGTCATGAAATTAAATGTCTATAAACCATAGAATGAAACTTTTCATTGAGATTAGAATTTTTATTTATGTTTCATTTCATTTTATATTACACAGTAGTCTTGGAAACAAGGCCATAAAACCCAGACTAAGACTGGCCTTAGCCACCTCGAGGCCCTGAATTCGAAGGTATTTAGTAGTTGTGGAGACTTATTGTAGGGAGAAAATTCATTTTGATGTTTGGTAGGCGTTGAAGAAAAACATGAGCATGCTGTAGTAGGAGATGCGGATTTCGAGCTGAGATCTACATCATGACTTTTTACATGGGCTCAGATTTTAACACAATTTTAGACTCAATCGGTTCACAAAAGAAAAATGTTACTTTTACCTCCTTGAAGTATTGTTGGAATACAACTTTCTTCCCTGAACTCTATAGACATCTTAATCCCTAAAACTCTCAAACCCGTTAAGATGACCTCCCTACCCTAATTAGAAGTGGTCTATAAGGTGGTTGCATTTTTTAGTCAAATAAAATCGGGTAAACATTCGATAAAGTTTTTAAAACACAAAAAATGTCTCCCAAGCTTCTAAAATTTCCCAAAAAAGATTCTCAAAAATAGGATAAGAGAAACCTAAACAAATTATCTAGAGCATGAGAATATCTATAAAAGTTTCTAAAAAATAGATTTATATATAGGAAAATATCTAGAAAAATGTGGAAAATTTCCAAAATATTTCAATCGATGATTAAACATGTTATGAAACTTTCCATAAATAAAAAATAAGAGACACAACCAGCATAAAATGCATTTAACATTAATGTATGTTGCATTTATGCTGAATGAATCTAACATTTTTGCCATACAAAGTTCTTAAAATGTGTTTGGGCATCAATTAGAATGTTTTGGAATTTTCCAAAAAATTCTATATATTTATTGATTTTATAGAGCTAAATATAATTGTTTGAAGATTCTAAAGATATTTTATGAGCTCTAAAATTTTATTTGGATTTTTTGTCCCAATCTATCTCTATTTTTTTCTCGGAATTTTTAGAAACTCAGAGAATTGTTTTATGGTTCAAAAAATATTATTAAATCTTTATAGAATTTTTTATATAACTTTTAAAAGGATAAGACATCTGGCTTAATTAAGGAGGAATATTGTACTTTTTTAATAGTATATTGGCCCGTGCTAACGCTACGGAAAAAACCAAAAGATAATTTTAGTTTTTTAAAAAGGAAATAACAATGTCAAAAGCCAAAAGCCTAAGATTAACACGAGAAAGGTGATAAACACCACATATAAACCCTATACTTGCTGAACAAAATTCTTAAAAATATTCCAGCAGGCCTACATACATCATTTTAGCAATGATCATATTCTGTTCTTTTTCCTCCTCTCCAATGCATACTGGTGATAGAACTTTGTATTGCCATCACCTCTTTGTCATCCAGTGCCATCAAGGACCACTACATTGCCCTAAATTAGGACAGAGTATTAGGCAAAGATCTATCGGTTTGACAAAAAAATATAATAAGCAAATGGCATACAGTGAAAATAAAATAATGTTCTTCAATTTGACGAAAAATATAATAAGCAAATGACATACAGTGAAAATGGATGAAAGTTCTTAAGTTTGACGATAACTCATCCAATTTTATAAGCTGTAGAAATTATGACAGGATCAACTGCATTCACCGGCTAGCAACTCCTAGCCGCAGAATTATATACTCTCTACGGTCCATATTATATAGCGCAAGTTAGAATGACACGGTCTCCTATATTACATTTTGACAATTCATTTGATTTATATTATATTATTTATGCTTATGAACTTATAATCATTGGATAGTATAATTCCTTACAAATCTAATAATATAAAGTTTATATTATAATAATTAAAAATTATTAGTCTAATTATTGGTTAAAGTTTGAATCTTAATATACATGTGCGCCAGATAAAATGGACTGGAGGGAGTATGTAACACAACAAAGGCTGAAAGGAGCTATTTCTTATCCACAACATGGCAATCTCATCGGGCATTCAGGCTGCAGGAAATAAGAAGGCAGAGATCAAAGGATCTCACCATGGCTCAGCATCTTGTTGCGTATAGGCAGCACACGGCCCCAACTTCTTGTATGCGGCAAGCAACTCGGCCAAGTACTAACTGCAAGAAACAAATGGCAATTATCAAAGCTATGATAGCATCATCAATCAATTAAACCAAACAACAGCGGGGGGGGGGGGCAAAGAAACAATCTTGGCAACCAGATTACATGTTGGAGATAGCAAAAACAAATTACACTGGGCAAAGAA